CGGCGGACGGAAGCACGAGGTTCGAGGATCTCCATCCGGAGTCCCGGAAGATGTTTCTTGAAATCAAGTAAGGTTTCTTGGATATTCACATCTTTTGTTGTTTTGGTCAGGGCTTTGTAAATTTTAGCTGAGGAAGATTTGTTCTTTGCTTTTGGTTTTAGTCTGGAGATGTTCTTTATGGTGTTCTTTTGTGATGAACGTTTCTTCCTTCAGGGGTGGTTAAACCTGTAGAGTTCTCACCGCGCATCACACGTTCACAAGTGGTTAACACTGAGCGATGATAGCCTTAGGTTCTTTAACTATACTGACGAGAGAAATGAGATGAAGGTGTGATGTTGGGACCCAAGTATTCTTTTTTAAGGAGGGAAACAAAGGTGGATGCAAGAGCGAGAAGTAAGTCCAGTTTACAAGCCACTGACATGATACACTATAGGACGCCGAATAGTCCGTGATAGCAAGGGGCCGGCGTTGCCCATGACTCGTTGAAATTTAATTGTAGTGTAGTGAGAGATACCAGGCCCTCAACTTCAAGCTATCGCCCCGAGCTACAGTAACTATCTAATTCTTCATTGCTCGTGGGCATGCCAAAGGCTATCTTTTAAGTTGCTGAATTGTAATATGTACGAGAGATGGAGATTCTTCCTTATTGGAGACTTAGCTGCTTGTGCAATATACGAGAGCACAGCTGAAGGTGGCAGACAATACAAAACTTCATAGGAAGTCCTTTTTCAGAGTTAGCGCCAAGATGTTCTATACTGAGATTTAGTCTTAAGGAGGGGGAAAGCAATTATTTTGCTTATTCTTTTGGTTTGGGACTGGAACAGCAGACCCAGTAGGTTGCGAGTGTGCGATTTACTACCTCATTTTGACCATTGACCTACAGTGGCAGGATGAGCCAAGATTGAGATGATCACATTCAGATGTTAAGGAATTCCTCCAATGTGAGCTGGTGAACAAAAACATCATGATCTGAACCAGAGGCTTTTGGAATGCCATACAGCTTATATATGCTGTTAATGTTATCGAATTGATCCAGGTCCGCTCCGTTGGCATAGCTGCTCCCCTAATTCACTCTGTTGGAGACCCATGAGAGAACGGCTTGTTAGGACATTCTGTTGCAAAACAAAAACACTTTGTTTTGTTAATATTGGCAAGCTAATAACTGGCCTAATTATCCGAGACCTCACCCATGAATTAGAACCTTTTACAAGCTGGTATTTAAGTCTTCAAGAAAAGCCTAGGGTTTCTTGTGGATTGGTTTATCTTATGCTTAGATATGAAAAGATAGCTATATAATCATGGACTCGATTGTAGGATTCATTGAATGATACTGTTATGACTAACTCTGTCCATCGTTGAAAATTCAAGAAGAAAATTCAATAATTCATTGATTTTAACATAAATCAACTAATTGTAGACGTCTAAAAATGTCTATAGGTGTCCGCATACAGCTCGAGACGGAGAGAAGATGACGAACGTCGTTATCCGAGTCTAGGAGGATTATCTGACGCCAACAAGTGCATGAACCAGAATAACGAACCAACTGTGTCTCGTACGCTCACCGGCCACCTCCAATTGGCCGTCACACCTGTCGATCAGCCCGCGCGCGTCAGTCAGCTCGGGCGCGTCAGTCAGCTCGGTCAGCCCGCGCCGACCCGCGCCCCCCGCGGGTCAGTAGGGCGTATCGCGCAGTTCCGACCCCTAAACGCGTTTTCGACGGTTTTGAGCAGTTTTCTCGGGATTTATCCGTTTTAGGGGTTCTTAACTGACTTGATATTATCCACAAACGTGATTAGATCGTTATTGACTGAAGATAAGACTAAATCACTCATTCTTATCTAAATACCCCCAACCGAAGCCTATAAATACAGGCCTCGGGGCTCATTTCACAGGACGGACATCAAAAGGGCGAAACGCTGCCGAATTGGAGAGTGAAGCCATAAATTTACAGCGAGGGTTAGCAGATCTTAGCGAATTCCTGTGCATAAACAGTGGAGTTCGAGAGATCTGAGACTCATCCCCTATTCCTCCGGATTTAAGCTTAGTCTTAAATCTTGAGAAGAGTCGTGATCTCGCTTGGTCAGGATCATCACTTCAGCGATTACTTCCTTCGTGAAGTAAGAGCTTTGATCAACTTAAACTGTCGACTGGATCTGATCCGTGGTGGTCCACGGATATTAACGCCCCCGGCACAAGCGAAGTTCTCACGCAAGCAGCGGGTGATAAACATCCGTTGCGCTGTTTAACAAGAGTTGTATTATTTTACATTTTCATTGTATAAGTCGATCTTATAAAAAGATCTACTTTTCTTGTTTATTTGAGTTTATTGTAACGACCAAAGTTGTAATAGATTCAAGGCAATGAAAACATCAACTTTTGACTCAAACACTAATGTCTAACTATAACTTGCATATTTCTAGATAACATTAAAGGAAATTTCTATTAAGTATCAAATTTTAATACTATGAGAAGACTTGGACATTTTTTTTCTTTTCCTGTTTTTCATGGTTACTGTACTACTAGCCTGTGACAATAACCTATTTCTGTTTCCCTTCATTTGCTACTTTGTGATCCTCCAAATGAAAATTGTTCCTTATCAAAAAGGCTAAGAAACGTGTTTTATAAGTTAGTTTTATTTAGGTTATAGGTTAGTTCAGATGCCTTTTCATTCATTCCATTCGTTCCTTTTTATGGAGAAATATTTTGATCTTTGTGCACCACTTACCAAGGCTTGTGTCCTGATTTTCCTTTTTGACGACTTCCCCAATACAAGTTCACAACTAGGCTCAAAAGTAAAGTGTGCTGCAGTTTCGCTTAAATATTTGCTTAATCTTAGGTGAAAGTGATTTAATGGGGTTGACTATCACAGAATTTTAATAACAACATAGATATATGCAAATTCATCATTTCTGTATTAAGGTGGATAATCTATTGGGTAGCAATGATTGTTTTTTAGGTTGAGCCTTATTCCTTCAATCTGTGATATCTATATCCCTGTATAAGAATGAGTGCCGGATCACAATTCTTCATTTGCTTTGTCACATCTTCCTTTCTATTTTATCCACGTATATAACATATATTGATAAGGTGTACAAGTTTTAGTGCGTTTCCTCTACTGACTTGCTTTTAGGAATAAATAAAGAAATTCCTTATTCTTTTTTGAGTTATTATGGATACTTCTTTTGAGAGAATGGCACTTTCATCATTTCTCCCTTCCTCTATGAAAAAAAAATTGGACTGTAAAAAAAAATCCTCCTATTGGCGGGATTTTGTTAGGTTGAAACTTTTAACTGTTGTATAAGTTACTGTTTACAAATGTGCTACTATGTAATTGCTGCGTTCTAAGAAAAACAAGCTCAGAGAGAGATTGTTGAGATCAGGTGGAGACCAAACCTCCGCAGGCGAGCGGAGCTGCAGGCGAGGCGAGCTCGAAGTCGCGGCGGCTTCAGGCGAAGTCGAAGACGCGCAGGTGAGCTCGAGCTTTGGGCGAACGCGATGGTGGCTTTGGGCGAACGCGACCCTCGCTCGACGAACGCGACCTCGTCCGACGCGGACGCCACTCGACCACTCCGACCCCTCCCGCGTTCCCCACCCACATCCGCACACACCCTCACACACCCACAAAACTACCCGAAAAAAACAAAAAACCCCCAAAAAAAAAAACAAACAACGCAAAACCACCACAGTCGAGAACATACACACAGTGGAAGGAACAAAAGAACACAACCAATAAGCTGTCGCCACAACACAACAAAGACGCAATTCAAGCAAACTGTCTCGAAGTTCGGAAGAAAACACTAATAAACAACCAAAACACCACCAAAGAACAGAAAATCAAACTACCTAAACCCAAGCTAGACACCAAAGTTCTCTTATCCAAAAATCAGATTTATCTATCTGGCCAGACGATCGACCATCAAACGGCAGTAAGCGCTCGTAAATCCCAAACAAAAAAACACCTTTAATCGCACGCAGCGTAATCCCCCCAACAAAATCAAAATCGGACAAGACAGTGAATTTCTATTCACAGCCTAAATCGTGTTATTGAGGAAGGAGATAAAGTAAGGATTTAACAGAAAGGAGAGAGAGCACAAAAGAGAAAAGGGATTTTATTAGTGGGTTATTGAACAGCTCGTAGCTACAGTGTTTTTGGAGATAAATCCACAGTTTAAGGGAATTTGCTCTTGCATTCTGTAATCTTCTTCGTATACGAAAACCACAAAAGAATATCCAATGAAGATGACATTGACCAATGATAAAGTAGAGAAAAACAAAGAAAATAACAACAAAGAGTATAACGGCAAACAAAAACGACAAAAAAAAAAAAGTAGGAAAAACAAACAACATATGAAAAAACAACAACACAAAAAACAAAAAAAACAAACCACAAATAAAAACCACACAAATAAGAACACCAACAACCACCAAACAAAAAAGCTTCGCATACAATATCATAGATGTAAACCCTTATATTACTTAATTACATGCACCGTTTCTGTCTCGACAAATATACGGGGAAGAATATAAATAACCACTCGACACCGCAAAACGTCCACTAAAAAACCCAACACATCCCCTAATACCCAAACAAAAAAAATAAAAGAAGTTAATCAAGCAGCGTAAGAAAAGATCTAGAGGACATCGATATCAGTGGAAACAGCCATTGAGAAGAGATGAGAAGGAAAAGGTGAGAATAACGAGAAGTTGAATGGATCAGATTTTCGATTAACTTGGAATAACATGAAGACATGAAAGAGATATAATACTGTATCAAAAAAAATACTAAGTATCACAACACACTCATCATCGGGGAAGAAACGGCGGAAGGGTATGAAGCAAGAAGAATTGGAATCTTCTGGACGAAAAGCCTCGGGTTTTGTTGAGCGTTAAACATTAACGAGAAGCTAATAGATTGGTCTATAACACTATTGCAAAGGAGAAGAACAGCTGGGTCAGTTATGACAGAATCTCAACAAATATGTATGAGAAGCCATCAGACCATTAACAATAACGTCCATAGTTGAATAGGCCGGAGAACTATTGCTTAATAATCTGGACTAAAAATAGGCGGAAGGTGCAAAAATTGAAGTAAAACAACATCATCTCAAAGAAATCATATAAAAAATCACAATTATCGATCAACATAAAAAGTTCGTTAGAGAATCATTATGGTTCTAGATGAGCAAACGTTGACCCGGGCGTTGACTCTCACTTATATGTACTTCCGCTACCAGAGAGTTGGAACGTACAATCACCCACAAACCACAGTCACAAGGGAGCAAGTAGATCGATCGGCAAAGAAAATTATTAAGTTCGAACGACGTTCGTCAAAACACAAAAGATCAATGGTCATCTCAAGTGAGGAAGCATACGAACAACGAAGAGACCCGGGTGAAGCTACAATCTCAGTATTGACAACACATACAGAATCAAAAGAGCGCTAGACAAGACACTCACCGGAGCAAACTGCTCAAGATGACTAGGAGATCAAATCCAGATCCAACACGTCCATACGCAAGGCTATGAGTGTTGGAAGAGCGGGAAACGGGTAAACAAAAGAATCAATGAAGCAAGAGAGTGCAAAGGTCAAAAAAAAGAAGAAAGTGGAGTGACAGAGCAAAGCGATGTTGAATTTGGCCATCCACTCCAGAGAGAAAAAATGATAAGCGAACTGAGTATGCTCTTTGGAGAGCAAAGATGAGTCCTTGGGTGTTCGGAAAAAACATCAGAAAAACAGGAGAATACATTCCAATCGCATATCATCCTCCAGAAGATAATCATCGAGAGTCGTAAGAATCCCAACAAAACAAAAGGAAAAACCCTTAAACGGCATTATAATAACCTATGGTGACGATCAAGGACTGTGAGAGCATTAATTGGCAAAGGTGTAAGTGAAAAATTAAGCTGGAAGTGAAGAGCTAGTATAAAGGCAGCTAGAGGATCGTCAGCGTATAAAAATTCCCAGAACCAAAAAAAGAAACCATAAGAAAAGACAGGAACTCTTAATCTCAGTAAAAGATCAGCTAGGCTAAGCATAGACAGCATCACAAGGACTTTCCATGGCGATAGACTGATGATTCGAAGAGCAAGACAATGAATAGATACTGTACAAAGAGCAGGAATGAACGAGCTGACAATACAAAAACACCAACCACCAAGAAACCCCCACACAACCCAATCACCCACACCACAGAAGGAAAAAAAAACCAAAACAATAAACGAAAAAAAAAAAAGAAATAGAAAAACTGATATTACCTGAGAAGCAGAGTGCAGCGTTGTTGAATCTCAAGCTGCAGCATGGAAATGAAGACCTACTCAAAGACTGAGGGGAACCCAGACGACCTGCACAGGTATCATCGAGTGACAAGGGGATGAACAAAATATGCACAACCAAACCACACCCCATAATCAGGGAAAAAAGACAAACTCCCAGGTTTAAACAGCTAGAGATTGATAAGGATGTGGTGGAAGAATGCTATACTTGGAAGAAGAAGAAAGTCAGGCTTTCAGACAATGGCATGCGACCCTAGGAAGCAGAAGCTAGAAGCTTGTTCACCAGGATGTTTGGGACAACACCCGCGCGTCGATTTGGTGGGAACCTACTTCGTGACTTTATTGATGTGATACACTCTCCGGAAAGTATGGGTCTACTTTCTGAGAAAAGTCAGAAGTGTTTGAGGCTTTCAGAAGATGGAAAGCCATGGTCGAGAATGAGAGGGTTTGCAGGGTAAAGAAAACTCAGAACAGGAAAATGGTGGTGAGTATGAAGACACCAATTCAAAAGTTCTCTATGAGCACGGTATCAGAATGGAGATGGACGTGCCCGCCCGCCTCAGCACAACCCCCGATGGATAGTGGCTGAAGCGCATGAATAGAAGTTGACAGACCCGCAGACGCCCAAGAAGCCATCTCGCAAATCGATAGCAATAAGCGTAATCATCCGACGCATGTTCTGGGCAGAAGCAGTCAACACAGCAGCTTACTTAATCAACCGAGATCCATCGGTTCTATTGGAGCACAGAATACTAGAAGATGTATGGTGCGGAAAGGAGGTAACCCTCTCACATCTCAAAGTTTTCGGTTGTGTAGCTTATGGGCATATAAGTGATCAAGGCAGGAATGAGCCTGATCCCAAGTCTAAGAAATGCACATTCATCGGGTATGGTGAAGACGAGTTCGGCTACCGCATTTGGGACAACGAAAACAAGAAGGTGATCAGGTGCAGAGATGTGACATTCAACGAGAAGGTGATGTACAAGGACCTGCACAAGACAGATGACGGTGACTCAGAGAGCGAGTCAACATTTGTAGATGCAGATAAAATTCTGGATAACCTCTCGGAAGAACCCAATGCAGAAGGTCCTCAGCCAGAAGAGCCTGTTGGACAGAACGGTGCGCAGGAGCCCGACGCACCAGCTCCGATATTGAGGAGAAGTACTCGTCCTCCCGTGCCTAACAGCAGATACAGCTGACAAATGGAGGGGAGTCTGAAAGCTTTGATGAAGCTTGTCAGAGTGGAGATGCGAGCAAGTGGGAGTTTGCTGCGAAAGAAGAGAAGAAATCTCTGATCTCCAACCAGACATGGGGACTAGCTGAGTTGCCCATAGGGAAGAAGGCACGTCACAACAAGTGGGTGTATCGAGTGAAAAAAGAGCAGAATGGTTCCAGAAGATACAGAGCCCGATGAGTTGTCAAAGGATTTCAACAGAATATCCAAGGAAGAAAGGATCCAGCGGATATGTTAACAAAGACGGTGACAGTTCAGAAACTGGAGTTGTGCGCAACTTCAGTTGGCCTTCATGCATAGATGATGAGGGCGGAGCCACACAAGAGAGGAGCTTGATGGGATAGCCTGTTGTCGTCAGTTTGATCTCCAAGTGGGAGATTGTTAAGATCAGGTGGAGACCAAACCTCCGCAGGCAAGCGGAGCTGCAGGCGAGGCGAGCTCGAAGTCGCGGCGGCTTCAGGCGAAGTCGAAGACGCGCAGGTGAGCTCGAGCTGGGCGAACGCGATGGTGGCTTTGGGCGAACGCGACCCTCGACACCGACCCCCGCGTTCGCCTCCCACCCTCGCGTCGGACATCCGCTGGCGACAGGCTGTCGCCAGCCCACGAATTCCAGCCTGTCTCGTTCGGCTATAAAAACCCCCCGATGCCCTAGCTCCAGTTGCTCTTCCTCCCCTCGTTTTTCTCTGGCGGCGGATCCCCCTAACGCAGTAGCGTTCCCCCCCTTTAACGCAGCAGCGTTCTCTCAAATCGCAGCAGCGATTTCTAATCTCCAGCTCTCAAATAGTGTTTTGAGGGGAGATAAAGAAAGGATTTAAGAAGAGAGAGAAAAGAGAAAAAGGGATTTTATAGTGGGTATTAACACTGTAGCTACAGTGTTCAATTTGAGAGATCCCAGTTTAGGGATTTGCTCTTGATTTATAATTTCTTGTTAGATTAATAAGAAATTGACTGTGTGGCTCCCGAGGACGTAGGCAGTTGCCGAACCTCGTAAATCTTGTGTACTGTTCTCTATTCTGCGTTTCTGTTGCATTAGGGGTTTAGGCGTTAAATCCCCAAGAGAGAGAGAGAGAGAGAGAGAGAGAGAGAGCGAGAGAGAGAGAGAGAGAGAGAGAGAGAGTTTTCAGGTCGTCTATTCTTATCATCTCATGAATGAGATTGTCTACCCTCAGCCTGCTGCTGAGTAACATTTGTACTCTGTAAGCTGGTTTTCTTCAGTTGGTCACTAAACAGCAGGTTCATTGTTAGGCTTTGGTTTGGTCAATGTCATAATATAATTTTTATCTGCATGTTGAAGATAACTCGATACACTTTTCTTTCACTATAAACAATGATTGCTTTGTTAATAATTCATATTTATGCAAAAAATGGAGTCAGTTTCTACCTGTGAAAACAGAAATATAAAGAAAGGTGTGAAGATGCTTGTGGTTCTCTGGAGGTTTTTGAATCCAGTACATTAGCATTGAATGATTCTAATTTTGCAGTGAGCGGATTCAGCAATACAAGGATGAAAGTGAAACAGTAGATCGGTGTGAAAGGCTCTATGGTACATTTGGTGATAAATTTGATATTGAAGTTGAACGGACCAGTCAGGTTCTCTTTTCTATTATATTTATATTTACATGTTTATAATTTACTCCACTCATCTTACATTCTCTCATTTTTTTAGTCTCTAGTTTTATGGTCGCTCTATTGTTTATTAAATCTTGCCTCTAATCACTTTTCTGCCCCTTTGAAACCAAGGTAAGTATTTATGCATCTTTTAAGCAGCACCGTTGCAAATAAATTCTGGACTATATACTTAAAGAGAAGAAGCAATAGGGTAAAAAGATGATATTTTACCAATTTAGCTTAATGCTGGTCAACCTGGGCCAACTGTTAAGTCAGACAGTTAAAACAAGTATTGAGTACTAAATTAGCCACCAAACAAATTACTGTATGTGGTTCGAAACCAATGTTCATCACTAATTGGTTAATCAACAATGACTATGTGAACCTGAAAGCTAGTTTTATACAGACAAGTTGGACAATGATGGAACCTCTTGATGATGAACAAGAGAGCAAAACTAAAGTGAATGAAAACCCTAATTCATTATGAGATCTCTTGGGCTTTATATAGGCCCCTACAAAAATTACAAATAAGTCCCTAATAATACTAATATGTCAACACTCCTCCTCAAGATGGGCGAAAGATATCTATTAAGCCCATCTTGTCACATCCTCTAATCATATCTACTGAGCTGAGTCCTTTAGTCAGACAATCTGCTGCCTGGTCCTTAGTCGAAACATGACTTAGCTCCAGTAGTCCACTATCCAACTTCTCTTTGATGAAGAACCTATCGATCTCGATGTGTTTGGTTCTATCATGCTGCACTGGGTTGTTGGCAATACTGATAGCTGACTTGTTGTCACACCATAACTTCATCTTAGCTCCTTGATCCAGCTTCAGCTCCACCAGCATACTCTTCAACCATAGCAACTCAGCAACTCCTAAGGCCATAGCTCTATACTCTGCCTCAGCTGTCGATCTCGCCACCACTGACTGCTTCTTGCTCTTCCACGAGACTAAGTTACCTCCTATAAAGATGCAGTATCCTGAGGTGGACCTCCTGTCATCAGCACAGCTAGCCCAGTCAAAGTCGCAATAACCATCGATGTTTACATGTCCATTCTTTCTGAATATCAGCCCCTTTCCGGGGGCACTCTTTAAATATCTCAGAATCTGGTACACAGCGTCCATATGACCCTTCCTCGGATCGTGCATGTAGCGACTCACCACGCTTACTGCAAAAGAGATATCAGGACGTGTGTGACTCAAATAGATCAGCCTTCCCACCAACCTCTGATATCTGTCACGATCAACTGGTTCTCCAGCCTTAGCACCTAGCTTGAACTTCTGGTCGATCGGTGTAGTTGCAGGTTTGCATCCTAACATCCCTGTCTCTTTGAGAAGATCCAGTGCATACTTTCTCTGGGATAGGACGATCCCCTCCGCTCCTCGAGCTATCTCTATTCCAAGAAAGTATCTAAGCAAGCCAAGATCTTTCACCTCGAATTCCTTACCCAGTCTCACTTTGAGTTGGGCAATCTCCTTCTCATCATCCCCTGTAATAATCATATCATCCACATATACCGCAAGCATAGTAATGTGGCCTCCACTTCGTCGAAAGAACACTGTATGGTCGGCGTTGATCTGTTGGTATTTTATACCAATCATAGCCCTTCTGAATCTGTCGAACCAAGCACGGGGAGATTGCTTCAGACCATAGAGAGATTTCTTCAATCTGCAGACCTTTCCTACTGTCTGATCTGTACCAAATCCTGGTGGTATCTCCATGTATACCTCCTCCACTAGATCTCCATGAAGAAATGCATTCTTCACATCTAGTTGATGTAGCTTCCATCCACCATTTACTGCCAGAGATATTAAGGTCCGAACAGTGCTCATCTTCGCCACCGGTGCAAAAGTCTCATCATAATCGATGCCATATGTCTGACTATACCCTTTTGCCACCAGGCGAGCCTTGTAGCGCTCAACTTGTCCATCTGGATTCTGCTTCACAGTGAAGACCCACTTGCATCCAACTGCTCTCTTTCCTTCTGGTAACTTTACTAGCTCCCAAGTGCGGTTCTTCTCTAGAGCTCCTAGCTCCTCGTGCATAGCCGCTTTCCATTTTGGGTCCTTCTTAGCAACCTGCCAATTGTTAGGTATAGTAACAGAGTCCAATGATGCAATGAATGCTCCATATGCAGGGTGGATACTAGAATATGATACATACTGGGCAAGATCCCAACCATATCTATCGGGAGGATGTCCCGCATTACTGCGAGTAGTCCTCCGTACTGATATTGGTGTGGGAGGAGTAGGGAGAGGAATGTTATCAGTAGGAATGTTATCACCTTGGGATGAAATTGGTGATGGTGTAGGAATTTCAGGAGTCGGGGTAGGCGTTGGCAAGAGACTTAGCAGCACTAGTGGCACTGTAGGTACTGCTCCTGCAATTTGTTTGCCCTTCCTACTATAGGTTAGTAGCTCCCCCTGAATAGTGGGCCTAACACCTCTTGTCTTATTTTCCTTTTCTTCGTGATTCTCCTGCTCCTCCTCAACCAACTTCTCATTTTCCTTTTTTTCGTGATTCTCCTGCTCCTCCTCAACCAACTCTCCCTCCCAAGGAATCGCTACAGAAATGGATTTCTCCACATTGTTCTCCGGTCTCTCACTATTCTCCTCCTCTCGCCCCATACTTCTAGTATTGGGCGAGTTACCAGCAGATGAAGTTACCTTCTGGGTGTAATATGGCTCAAGTTCTCGAAAGTGCACATCCATGCTCACAAACAACCTTTTTTCCACCGGGCTCCAGCAAACATATCCCTTCTGAGTAGCAGAATATCCCACAAAGATACACTTCACAGCTCTAGGGGCAAGCTTCCCGACAGACGGCCTGTTGTCCTTCACAAAACACACACAGCCAAACACTTTGAGTGGAAGGATCCCACCATTATCTCCTTTCAATATCTCACACGGAGACTTCCAATCCAGCACTCTCGAGGGCATTCTGTTGATCAACGCTGCTGCGGTCAATACTGCTTGTCCCCATAATGTCTCTGGGACATTCATAGAGATCATCATGCTTCTAGCAACCTCTAAAAGATGTCTGTTCTTCCTTTCCGCTACCCCATTCTGTGCTGGAGTGTATGGACAGGTTGTCTGGTGATGTATTCCTTGAGCTGACAAATATTCTTCAAGGGCTCTGTTGGTATACTCTGTCCCATTATCTGACCTCAATACTTTCACCACTGCTCCGTATTGAGTCTGAACAGTCTTATGAAAATTTTGGAAGCACCCAAACACATCACTCTTATTCTTCATCAGGTATAACCAAGTAACACGAGAGAAGCAATCAATAAATGTAACAAAATATTTGTATCCATTCATAGAACTTGTGGAACAAGGCCCCCAAACATCTGAATGTACCAGGTCAAATGCATGAGAACTTCTATGACCAGAACTAACATAAGAGCTTCTAGTAAGCTTTCCCAACTCACATGCATCACACACAAGTTTCTGTTTATTTGCTTTCTCAAATAAAGAAGGATACAATCTACCTAAAACACTAAAGGATGAGTGTCCCAAACGCTGGTGATGGAGTATTAACTCATTTTCAGCACTCATTTTAGGTCCTACTCTTGCTTCCTCTATGACTGACACCAATGCTGAATCTAGCCCTTCACGATCCATATACCACAGTCCACTACGCCATGTGCCAGTCCCAAGTCTCCGCCCTGTCCCCTTTTCCTGGAAAATTACCTTGGGAATATCAAAAGAAACAATGCATTTTAGTTGGAGGATGATAGAACTAATGGACAAAAGATTGACTGGAAAAGAAGGAGCATGCAAAACATTGGACAAAGTTACAGAACCAGTACAATCGACTGTACCCTTACCAACCACCGGCTGAAATGTACCATCAGCTGTTTGAATACTATCAGGCGATGCTAAGTGAGTATATGATGAGAGCTCACTAGCATTACCTGTCACATGGCGAGATGCACCGGAGTCGACTATCCACTCTGATGATCTGTCGGGAGACATAGAAGCAAGAGCATGTATGTCATCAGTACCTTTGTTCGGATGAGCATAGGTAGCAGTGTTGCCTTTGACGAAGAACGAAGTAGATGCCTCCGCAGTCCCATTCCTCAAATCTCCATCCCCTGCTACTTGCTGTTTTTTTCTGAGTATCGTGAGGAGAGCACGATCCTCCTTTATAAAAACCACCTCAGCTTCTTCTTCTTCTGCTACTGTCAGATTTGCCCGATTCCCAGCTCCTCTTCCACCTCGTCGACCCCCACGGCCACGACCACGACCTCCGAACTGTCCACGTCCACCCGAATCTCCTTCCTTGGATGACTTGGTGCAAGCATGCCGTAGATGACCCACCGCACCACAGTTGTAGCACTGTCGGATCTCTCCCCTAGATCCAGTGTTGCTATTGGTTGCCAGTGCTGACTTCACCACAGGAAGTCCACCTGTCCCCGCCTGCAGCCGAATGCGAGTCTCCTCTTGGATCATAGCAGAGATAGCCTCCTCAAGCGTGGGAATCTTAGGCTGAGCTAGCAGCAATGCGATTCGCTGAGCGAACTCTGATGTCAATCCTTTAAGAAACACCATAGTCCTCTCTTGTAGAAAAGCTTCCCGCTCTTTACATCTTGGGTCCTTGCAGCTAGCCCGGGGAGAGAAATGATCATAATCCAGCCACAGGCGTTCCAACACTGTAGCATATTCCTGTACAGTCCTTTCTCCCTGGACTATGGCGTCGATCTCTCCTTTAATCTGGAATACCCTCAGGTTATTCCCTACTCCATCATACGTCCTCCTCAACTTCTCCCAGACGTCATTCATCTTCTCAATGCCATCTACCGTGGCGGCGATCGTCGGGACCAACGAGTTGAGAAGCCAGATGTACACCAACATATGAGTGGTCTTCCACTCATCTCTTCCCTCCGAGTCCTCCTCCGGTTCTGTCGCCTCTCCTGTCAAGTAACCCTCCAGGTTCCTCCCTGCAAGGGTGTATCTCACCCGTCGCGACCAGCTC